CGGATACAGACCATTTTCTAGTGGACACTTCCTGCTGGTATGGGCGTCATCAAGGGAGTAGCCTACACTCCACTTTTTATGCTTTCCTCAATTCCCTGCTGCTGATGGGTCCCAATAAGGGCAGACGAGTTTGTTTTGCATCCTACACCTGAAGGACCTTTCCACGAACGATCTTTCAGCTGTATGATGCAACTCTATACGGCACAGCGATTTGTGGCTCAACCTGTTTTCCCCTTACGTGAAAGCGATACATTTCCAGTGGTCGTTGCATCAGTGCGTGGGAAAATTTTCGCGGGAAAAGGGGTTTTCCAGTAGCTGGACAGCGTTGCATCAATATCAGATTTCATTCTACGAGTGCTTCGACCTCCCTGGGTACTACTCTGATGGCAGATCATGTGGATTTTTAACGCAAATGCCTTTCCGCTGAATGGCTTGCGAGAGGCGAGAGTTGCCAGCCGTAGCAACACAGCAGACCAACCATCTTGCTAGATTTCTATCTGATCTGGCTACGTGATACAGAAAGGTCTGCATTCTTCCTGCCAACTTCCTCCGTGGTTAGCGAGAGTTGCAAACTACGGCAACCCGTCGGATTAACCTTCATTGACGAACTCGAAGCACCCTGGCTTAGGCAAGCAAGCAAAGTCGGAAGCTTGCAGAGTTGTTCCTGCCAGAGCACTAGTCGTAGTGGGGAATCATCGGGTGCTCTGACACTTAGCATCAAATCGCTTCGTGTCAACGTTTGACAATGATGGAATCCTGTCCCATCCAATGCACCAAAGATAAGCTCAGCTGGAACCACGACCGGCTTTAGATTTGACCCCCGACAGTGCAATTACTGGAAGCAAAAAGGAAATCAATAGTAAGTCCGAGTGTGGTGCACTTGCGTTTTCGTTTTCGAAGCGTCGGCGAAGGCGACAATTTTTGGTAGTAAGTTTATTTATGTAAATGATATATTTACATAAATTCTGCTTACATTACTTCACAACGATACACCATGTAATTTAATATAATTACATGAATATAAATTTAACATTCGAAACTTCCACCACCAGTGTTGGATTAGTCTCATTCGATCCTGGTTTTGTGGAGAAATAAGATGTCACTCTTTTGATGAAAGCCTTATTTCTCCAGACAAAAATTTGTGAAGTCTCACAAATAAGGATCAACATGAATCATATCTGTTTGGTGGTAAACAAACGTTTGATAAGGGTTGAAACATCCAACCGAATGTGGTGACGCAAACAATTTGGCGTTCAACTTCCCATTTGAATTTTAAATATTTTTTCGATGTGGCATTCAACAACTCCAATGGAAACAACCACATCATTCACACGTCACATCATAGTTTATGATGTTGTGGCTTTTCCCAATCAAGTGGTGGGAGGGCGGGAGTCCCTTTTAAATAAGGGCAATTTTTTTCACCCACCCCGTTTCTCACTCCCACCCAAAAATTGGGGAATCATCGGGTGCTCTGACACTTAGCATCAAATCACTTCGTGTCAACGTTTGACAATGATGGAATCCTGTCCCATCCAATGCACCAAAGATAAGCTCAGCTGGAACCACGACCGGCTTTAGATTTGACCCCGACAGTGCAATTACTGGAAGCAAAAAGGAAATCAATAATAAGTCCGAGTGTGGTGCACTTGCGTTTTCGTTTTCGAAGCTTCGGCGAAGGCGACAATTTTTTGTAGTAAGTTTATTTATGTAAATGATATATTTACATAAATTCTGCTTACATTACTTCACAACGATACACCATGTAATTTAATATAATTACATGAATATAAATTTAACATTCGAAACTTCCACCACCAGTGTTGGATTAGTCTCATTCGATCCTGGTTTTGTGGAGAAATAACACTGCTCTAAACCTACGTGCAACAAAAAAACACTAGCGCCAAAATGGAGAAAATCTGCTAACAAATCCATTTCGCAGCCTTCATGCAGCCAGTCCAAGACGATGTACGAGATCCAGCTGCAAAAGACATTACGCATGCAGCCAAAGCAAGAAGCAACCTTGACGCAGCCATTCCAATGCGATCTGCGGAGACTGAGTTGCAAAACACAATAGAACTACGCGCAACGGCGTCGGAAATTGTAGCTCCAAAACCGGATCTCGACGCCAGAGCGAAAAAAAGACGATTTTGAAGCACTTTTTAAAAGAATTTTTAGAAGGAAAATCACTAGCGCCAAAATGGAGAAAATCTGCTGACAAATCACTGTCGCAGCCTTCATGCAGCCACTCCAATACGATTTACGAAGTCCAGCTGCAAAAGACAATAGTATTACGCATGCAGCCACAGCATGAAGCAACCTTGACACAGCCATTACAATGCGATCTGCGGAGACTGAGTTGCAAAACATAATAGAACTACGCGCAACGGCGTCGGAAATTGTAGCTCCAAAACCGGATCTCGACGCCAGAGCGAAAAAAAGACGATTTTGAAGCACTTTTTAAAAGGATTTTTAGAAGGAAAATCACTAGCGCCAAAAACGCATTTCGTGCGAGACTTCCTTCAAAACTCCATCGGCAACTCATCCACCAGCACCACTTGCAAGCCCATTTACATTGCGGGAACGATCCTACAGTTGCAAATCACAATGGAATTCTGTTGACCGCGCGTGCACGAAAAACACTTGAAACCCCGTTTACAATGCGGAACCGATCCGACCATGGTCCGAGAATGATCCGACCATGATCCGATCTCTCAAAAACGCATTTCGTGCGAGACTTCCTTCAAAACTCCATCGGCAACTCATCCACCAGCACCACTTGCAATCCCATTTACATTGCGGGAACGATCCTACAGTTGCAAATCACAATGGAATTCTGTTGACCGCGCATGCACGAAAAACACTTGAAACCCCATTTACAATGCGGAACCGATCCGACCATGGTCCGAGAATGATCCGACCATGGTCCGAGAATGATCCGACCATGGTCCGAGAATGATCCGACCACACACGAGACCGTCTCGCACCCGTCGCACCGCAGAGGTAGATCATCGACGTTCGGGGACGCACTTTGTCTGGAAAAACAAAGGGTTTCGTGCATCTGCTATCTCTCAAAAACGCATTTCGTGCGAGACTTCCTTCAAAACTCCATCGGCAACTCATCCACCAGCACCACTTGCAATCCCATTTACATTGCGGGAACGATCCTACAGTTGCAAATCACAAAGGAATTCTGTCGACCGCGCATGCACGAAAAACACTTGAAACCCCATTTACAATGCGGAGCCGATCCAGCCATGGTCCGAGAATGATCCGACCACACAGGAGACCGTCTCGCACCCGTCGCACCGCAGAGGTAGATCATCGACGTTCGGGGACGCACTTTGCCTGGAAAAACACAGGGTTTCGTGCATCTGCTATCTCTCAAAAACGTATTTCGTGCGAGACTTCCTTCAAAACTCCATCTGCAACTCATCCACCAGCACCACTTGCAATCCCATTTACATTGCGGGAACAATTTCTTTGACTAACTCGTTCCCTAACGAACTCTTTCTTTGCTAACTCTTTCTTTGCTCTTTCTTTGACTAACTCTTTCTTTGACTACCTCATATATCCTGAATAACTCTTTCTTTGACTAACTCTTTCCCTCACTAACTCTTTCTTTGACTAACTCTTTCCCTGACGAACTCTTTCTTTGCTAACTCTTTCTTTGACTAACTCTTTCTTTGACTAACTCTTTCCCTCACTAACTCTTTCTTTGACTAACTTTTTCTTTGACTAACTCTTTCTTTGACTAACTCTTTCCCTCACTAACTCTTTCTTTGACTAACTCTTTCCCTCACTAACTCTTTCTTTGACTAACTCTTTCCCTGACTAACTGTTTCTTTGACTAACTCTTTGTTTGACTAACTCTTTCTTTGACTAACTCTTCCCCTGACTAACTCTTTCTTTGACTAACTCTTTCCCTGACTAACTGTTTCTTTGATAACTCTTTCTTTGACTAACTGTTTCTTTGCTAACTCTTTCCCTCACTAACTCTTTCTTTGACTAACTCTTTCCCTGACTAACTGTTTCTTTGACTAACTCTTTCTTTGACTAACTCTTTCCCTGACGAACTCTTTCTTTGCTAACTCTTTCTTTGACTAACTCTTTCCCTCACTAACTCTTTCTTTGACTAACTCTTTCCTTGACTAACTGTTTCTTTGCTAACTCTTTCCCTCACTAACTCTTTCTTTGACTAACTCTTTCCCTGACTACCTGTTTCTTTGACTAACTCTTTGTTTGACTAACTCTTTCTTTGACTAACTCTTTCCCTGACTAACTCTTTCTTTGACTAACTCTTTCCCTCACTAACTCTTTCTTTCACTAACTCTTTCCCTCACTAACTCTTTCTTTGACTAACTCTTTCCCTGACTAACTGTTTCTTTGACTAACTCTTTCTTTGACTAACTCTTTCCCTGACGAACTCTTTCTTTGCTAACTCTTTCTTTGACTACCTGTTTCTTTGACTAACTTTTTCTTTGACTAACTCTTTCCCTGAGGAACTCTTTCTTTGCTAACTCTTTCCCTGACATTCTAAAAGTCCGTAACACGGAAGTTTCTCCCCCTAAACTTCCTTTGATAAATTTAAATATAACTGAAAATAAAAATAGAAATATATAAAAAAATAATAAGAATAACAGCAATTATAATCTATATATATATATTATATAATATATATATATATATTATATAATATATATATATACATATATATATATATATATATATATACATACATATTTAGATAGACAGATGTGCAGTTGCACCAGAGTTTGCGCTTTAGTTTTCCAACCAATGTAGGCACAAAAACCACGATCCAATTGGGAACATCAGTGACGAACTGAGAAGGGACGGTTTAGACGTGGTGTTTTGAATGCGTGTTTGTTTGTTTTGTTTCGTTTGCATTGTGATATTTATTTTGGTTTGTACTATTCTGGTTTTATTTGTGCGTTGAGTAGTTCTTTCTAGTTTGATCTTGCATTTGCTAACCGCAGCTCAAACTGGCAACCGCGCAACCATTCCTGGTGAAGTTCCATGGCGCCAACGGCTCAGTTTGTTGAATCAAGGTTCCGATGTCTTCCTGTTAAGATAAAATTTTCCTGGTTTTTCCTGCCTAACTGTTGTTGAACATATTGTTGTTATTTACTTTTCACGGATATTGCAACAAAAAAATTGACGGGTAATTGGCACATTCACAATTTCAAAACATTGTGTTTGTATGAACATGTTTCATTGTTTGTGTTCCAAGATTGGTCCATTTGAAAATCTCAGAAGTGTGTGTACACATCTTTTGACTGTACATCCAACACTTAGATGCTTGGACATTTAGACACCTTCAACACGAATCCCTTTATACTACTGAAAACTGGAACTAATTATTGGTTGTCACATTGCAAAAATTCAACGCACTGCAGAACAAGACCCAGGACTGCCCCAGCACAGACGTTGCCGGCTGTGCCAGTGACAACTAGCAGCACTGGACCTACAGCAGTGACTACTACGGCACCAGTCGTTTCTACAGCACCAGTGACGACTACAGTCCCCAGCACGGCATATCAGGCACTGAATCCAGGTTGTTCTGAGTTTTGATCAAATTTTCAATCACACTCCAAAACATTTCAGCAATTGACTTCAAAATGGCGGGTTTATTTTGTGGTACTGCATAGTTTATCTTTTACAGATGTTCAATTGGATTATGTTTTCTGGCTTCAATTTTTTGATAGTTGCACGTGCTCCACTTTGATTCTGAGGTAAATCCTTAAACCAACCATTTTGTGATTGACCCGATTCTATACAATATTCAACAAAAAACCTGAGTGGAACTGAACGTATCAAAATATATAATATATCTACATAGGCATGCTGGGGCCTTTGCTCTGATCGCATTTGAGCAACCACATATTAAAGAACATATTTTTTCCGGTGTTGTTTTTTGTTTTTTTTGAATCTGTTTCTGCTTCTCTGTTTTCTTGTTTCTCTGTTTTTCCCTGTTTCTTTGCTTCTCTGCTTTTCTGCTTCTTTACTTCTCTGCTTCTCCGCTTTTCTGCTTCCCTGCTATTTTCTGCTTCTCTGCTTTTCCCTGCCTTTTTTTTCTTCTCAAACCTAAATAAACCCTAAGAAACATCATATCAATAAATAATCCAAAACCAACCCTAGATAAACCCGAAACAACCATCAAAAAACGGCAAACAACCCGAAGTAAAACCCAAATTCAATCTGAAATGAACCCCAAGTAACCCCAAGTAACCCTAAACCACCCTAAGTAGATCTTAAACTAAACCAAAATAAATCCTAAACCACCTCCAAACAAACCTTAGATCAACCCCAAATAGATCCTAAACCAACCCTAAATGGATCTTAGACCAAACCTAAATAAACCCAGACCAACCCGAAAAAGTCCTAAACAAAACCTAAATAAATTTTCAACCAAACTTTAAAACATACTAAACCAAAACAACAGCTCAAGCACGAAAATCTTGCAAATACCATCGAACATGAGAGGTTGGAACTCCAAAATGTTTCAAATACCGTTGAAATGGCAGCTTCCAGCTCCAAAATGCTGCAAATAGCAAGGAACATGGACGACTTTGTAAATCCGGAAAAAAAAACAAAACAGAAAAACAACATCCTAAAACAATTCCGGACCCAAACATTAACAATCTGAACGATGCCGAATCGCCAATCCTCTGGTGGATGGTGGGATTGCGCAGGTTTGGCAGGGACTGCAAGGCTGAGAGAAGTTGGATCTGGGTCGAAGGATGATGTGGCTTTGTCCCAAAAGATCCAAAAGAGGGCCCCAAAGATCCAATGGCTTCTCATATCAGAATCAGAATGGTAAGTTAGGGTATATCGGTACCATTTTTGGGCTAATCCACGCGGACAGCTTGGTGGCTTTCATTCCTCGGCGAGCCACATGAATTCTGAAACAGGAGCAGTCCTGTGCGATGCCGACCGATTGCTGGGACCACTCAGAGACGGTCAAAATTTGAAGCTGAGGACTTGAAATTGAGATCGTTCTGCCATTGTTAGCCACTATATCTCCATTACTGCAACTACAGAAACTCAGCGGATTTAGTTGCAGAAACAACATCTGCCCGCCGTGCAACTTGAATCGCGACTGCATGAGTTGAGGTGCGGGCCCAACCGAGCCTATGTTAGGCTGGTGGAGGGTTCCTGCGATCAGTTCTCCTTCTTGGATCGTTTGGAAGTTTTAAGATGAAGGTGCGAACTTAACCAGTACCGCGACAGTTCTTTAATTTCATTGAAAACTGTAGAGATCGCGGTTATTTCAGGGAAACAACAACTGAGTTTTGGTGCAATCCTGAGATGTTTCGTTTCCTGCTTGGCATGGCCAATGGCTGCAAGAGTCCCAGGTCACCTGCGAATGTTGCCACTCCGACGATTGTGTCCACATCGCCCACAGCTGCCTTCGTCAGTGGAGGAGCATTTGAGGAAACAATCCTTAGCAAAAGGGAAGGTTTCAACATGTTCGCTGCAACCCTGACGTTGCTCCGCGTCTGACTTCAGGTGGCTATGAAGATAAAGTTGATGTTATTACTCCAATCAACAAATTGTTCATAGGGGGTGGCGAATTTTGATCCCATATGAAGATAAAATTGATGTTATTACATGTTATTACCCCAGTCAACATATTGTTCATAGGGGGTGGCAAATTTTGATCCCTCATGAAGATAAAGTTGATGCTATTACCCCAATCAACATATTGCTCATAGGGGGTGGCAAATTTTGATCCCTCATGAAGATATATTTGATGCTATCACCCCAATCAAAATATTGCTCATGGGGGGTGGCAAATTTTGATCCCTCATGGAGATATAGTTTGTGTTATTACCCCAATCAACATATTTTCAGAGGCTATAGGGGGTGGCGAATTTTGATCCCTCATGGAGATATAGTTGGTGTTATTACCCCAATCAACATATTTTTCAGAGGGGGTGGCGAATTTTGACCCCTCATGAAGATAAAGATGATGACAATGATGATGGTGATGATGATGATGATGATGATGATGATGATGATGACGATGATGATCATGACGATTGTAAGTGTGGAGCAACGTCCGGGCTGGGGCGAACATGTTTTAACATTTTTGGGGAAACAACCTGGAATGCCATGTCCACCATTCAACATTTTGTCGTCGTCTTGATGGCTTCCACAATGACCGTTTCCAAAAGTGGGCGCTTGAGGCTTGGCCACGACCCGGGATAGGTACCAAGTTTGTTTTGAGGCTGCAGAATTCGACAGGGGGAGATGATTTCTTTGCATTCAGCCATGAAACTGGCAGCTAGGGCTGTGATGTGCAAGGATTGGGCTGGAAGGTTCTGTGTTCTAAGGAGAACCGTTTTTTTCCAATCGATCAAAGAAAGAAACATTGATGATTGTGGTTTGATTGTAATTGCTGCCTGTGAGCAGCTTTCGCTCTACCGTTCGCCCTGCCGGCTCTACCATAATCATATACCCAACGTACGACGTGTACGGCGATCGTGGCCCTAGGAAATGAATCACCATGGGTCTGTGGTCGGTCTATGTTGTGCCAAATAGCACCAGAACTTGGCACAGGACCTGTTTCCACGTCGCTGCAAGCCCCTCCCTTCATGCAGAGTATTGGAAGTCAGGCCTGAAAACGCAGCGCAGGGGCGCGACTTTGGTTGTGTCAGGGGTTGTTGCACTGAAACTTTCTGGTGGTGTAGTAGTAGTTCGCGCTTCAGTTTCAGCTGCAGTATCTCAGATAATGAAACCCGTGAAATCCATTTTCCCACCTTAGGAGTCCTTTTGATGGTTTGCAAGCTGCGATGCCGCACTTTATTCCTTTGACTCAGTACACTAAAGCCATGAACTCAAAAGAAACTTGGGAAAAGGAGATACCAAGTGATTTGTTTCAAGGGTCCTTTGCAAAGCTGGATTTTAGATGATCAGCCCAGACAGGCACAGCCAATTATGACACTGCCACAAGCACAGCCAATGCCTGCTGCTCCAGCTGTGACATCATCCTCGGGAGTTGCGAGGAGACCAAGCAGCCGACAAGAAATTGGGTTAAAAACCAAATTCAGATTCAGTCGGACTAATAGTATTTTCAGATCATGAAGAATCAGAAAGATATAGAAAGACAAGCATATCAGATTTCGGGATTGTTTGCATAACACAGTTTCATTCTTAGCTTTCGCGTAAAATCTCCCCAAGTTAGTATGGAGACAGTTTCACCTCATGTGGGTCATCGCAGGAGGCTGTGTGTCCGGAAAAATTGGACCATTGGTGCAAGTCCATCACCCAAACACCTCAACAGAAAATCGACATTTCTAGATGATTTTTCGTTTTTTTCCATTCATAACATGTATTCAGGATGTTCAGTTGCCGTTCCTGAGTATCAAAAGGTATATATATATATTCATTATATAAATATTCATATGATTCATATGTTATATATATAATATTTATATAATATTATATACACATTCCAGACGCAACAAAACTTGGATTCACTCAAATCATCTCTATTTCTGTCCTTCCACAGCTACCGCCGATCTCAGTTTGTGCCTTCTCCTGTTCCTGGAGCTGGTTCGCCTGTCATCACCTCCGTTCAGCCCGGCTCTGGGGCAGGGGAGACCCAGGTATTGAAATCTATGGGGTTTCGAAAACCTACAAATGGTGGATTTCCCACATTTATAAATCTATAATAACTCCAAATCCAATGGTTGTGAACATGTTCTGATTTGATAGCAATACACTGGAGGTATCCGAGGTATCCCGTCTTTTGGGACACCTTGTTTTGACGGCGCGGGTACTCTTGGTATTCAACAGAAGGTTACTGGGAGATTCCTTTGTGGACTTGGCTTGACTATCCCGCCACAAAAAATAACACAATACAGGATTGTCATCGGATTGTCCCCAAAAAATGTAACCCCCACATAAAAAGCTTGATCATGATTTGAATGATGTTTTCAACAAGATTAATTTGAATTTGCCAGAAACTGGGTGTATTCCCCGAAAAAAATCGGACACAGCCCTTCGACCTGCGCCCGAGTTTGTGCCATCTCCATCTGGCAATGCGAGCTTCGTGGTGACTAGTGTGAGGAGCCAAGGAAGCTGCCAATGGCACCCGGCTGATCAAGCAGGGGCACTTCGAACAACGATAATTCTAGGACAGAACATGGGTAACCCTCGGAGTAAACCTTCCATTTTCCATGGTGCTGTGAAGTTTAGACCTACAGTCACCGACAGAATTATGGAAAAAGAAAAACGTTTCAATTTACAGGCGCAGCCTGTCTATGATAGAAAAGTTACGAACCTTTTTTTTTCCCATAATTATTGTTTCCATAATTTCTTTTTTCCATAATTCTGTCGGTGACTGTATGTCCATCGATTCGCAATTTGAATGCATTTTAAGGGGGAATATTGAATTATAGAAAATTTGTGTCTAAAGATCTGGTATATGCCCCTAAGTCTTCCATTGATATACATAATATCATGTGATGTTCGCAATTTGAATGCATTTTAAGGGGGAATATTGAATTATAGAAAATATGTGTCTAAAGATCTGGTATATGCCCCTGAAGCCTGCCATTGATATACATAATATCATGTATACGGGTATGTACATGTAAACCCCATTTCACCATTAGCTTCCCAACAATAAATCCAAAAATCAACTGCCGCCGCTGAAAAATCAGGTTGATACTACATACTTGCATTTGCATACATATTTCCATAACCCCCCAAAAAAAGCGGGTTTGAATTGTGGATCCATGACATGTCCAATAGGTGGAGCCCCAAACATTAATTCTGGAAAAAAAATGGAAAAACCGGTCAATCTGCCCTAGCCCCCTGATTTCACAGGAAAAATCAATTATGGAAATAATGGCCACCTCCAAGAATTATGGAAAAAAAAAGGTTCGGATCACTTCCGGGATATTTTGAACCCTTATGGGGAAAAATCCAATTATGGAAAAATCGGACGCCTGTCTAAGTTGAACGGTTTTTTTTTTCCGTAATTCTGTCGGTTACCATAAACAGGACAGGATTTCAGCGATTCTAGTACAAGAGGGTTTCCATAAATGGGGAATCCCCAAAATGGATGGTCTATAATCGAAAATCCTATTCAAATGAATTATTCACGGGTACCCCGAAACTATATACTGTACATACCTATGTATCTATATATCTATATATCTATGTATCTATGTATCTATGTATCTATGTTTATATGCATCTATGCATCTACGTATCTACGTATTTACGTATCTAAGTATCTACGGATCTACGGATCTACGGATCTACCTATCTACCTATCTATCTATCTATCTATCTAGTCTATACTAACTGTTATTAACATGTCTAATCCCTCCATCTCTTTCTGCGCCAGATGAGTGGTGCATCACCCGTGGCTGTCGCGTTGGGCACCTCAGATGAATCTTCCACAAGATGAACATTGGTTAAGGGTAGTTTCATTGTTTCTTTTCTTTTCCGTAAGTGGATATGTGTGCATATATATATATAAACAATATGTATCTACTATATCATACTATATCATATAATTAGATAGATAAAGAACTATATTTCTTGCAGGGCATCTAAGGTTAAGCGTGATCTGGTCTCTGACTGGGCTATACGTACGAAGGTAAGCAACCATTGTGGTAAATGGCTGTCAATCATGGTCACGAGGCCCGGGACTGCAGCAGTGCCCATGCAATCTCCGCCAGTGCGGGCGCCGAAAACTGCCATTCGTGCGCTGAGCGCCAGATGCAGCCTTGGTTAATTTCACATAGCTATTGAAAATGGTCATTTACAGCTGATTTACCCATTAGAAAGGGTGGTTTTCCATAGCTATGTTAAAGAATCCGGAGGGTAGCTTGGATTTTCCTCCCAATATTGATGTGAGGAAAGCTATGAGGCAAGAAGTGGTTGCATCTTGTCGTCACATCCTCTCTCAGGGTTTCAAAATGGAAGAACATGGGCATTTTCGGTCAATTGAAAGCCATTTTGGGGATGACAATCCCCACTGACTTGGTGCCGAGCGAGGCGTTCCAAAACATTCCCGCAGGCTCCAGCTGCGTTGTTGTGTCGTGCCGGGCAATCTGTTTGAGTCATGTTGACACTGAAGAATAGATTCTATAGACATAGAGCAGATGTGTTCCTTCTCTCTCTCTCTATAAACACATGGTATATAGGTATACATATATGTATGTATGCACACCATCATATACTATTATATATATATACATACGTATGTACGGTATATACTAGTATCTAATATTGTTGAAATACATTATCTTCAAAGCACCATTTGGACCCAACAATCGCCAAATCGCCAGGTGCAGATCCTCCCTTCCCTGCCAAGCCAGCAGCCAAAGCCAAGGAGGAGAAGCCCAAACGATCCAAAAAAAAGAAGCCGCTCAGCAAAATCGCAAAAATCGTGGGGAATAGGACCTGGAAAATTATTTGAGTGTAAAATCAAGGGAAAGTTACCGGGCTTTAAGTGTTTGAACATAGTAATAAAAGAAGGGGAAAGTCACTGGGTTGACGAAACTAATACACGAATACAGGAAACAACGGTATTTCCCCGTACATATATGGAAAAAAAACATAAATGTACCCTTCATCCAATCCTTCGACAAAGATGGGAAAGACAACAATATATGGTGTATGACTAACGATAGTCAAAGGAAGTTGGGAAGCAATACTTCCGTGTTACGGACAAATAGAATTCAGCGACTTGAAATGATGCAGGGTGGTAGATCACATAACAATACATAACAAAAGAATAAGAAGCAGTTAATGACGGGTGGTGACGAAGGGAAGTGGTGACAAAGGGAAGTGGTGACGAAGGGAAGTGGTGACGAAGGGAAGTGGTGAGGAAGGGAAGTGGTGAAGAAGGGAAGTGGTGACGAAGGGAAGCGGTGAAGAAGGGAAGTGATGATGAAGGGGAGTGGTGACGAAGGGAAGTGGTGACGAAGGGAAGTGATGATGAAGGGGAGTGGTGACGAAGGGAAGTGGTGAGGAAGGGAAGTGGTGAAGAAGGGAAGTGGTGACGAAGGGAAGCGGTGAAGAAGGGAAGTGATGATGAAGGGGAGTGGTGACGAAGGGAAGTGGTGACGAAGGGAAGTGGTGAAGATGGGAAGTGGTGACGAAGGGAAGTGGTGACGAAGGGAAGTGGTGACGAAGGGAAGTGGTGACGATGGGAAGTGGTGAGGAAGGGAAGTAGTGAGGAAGGGAAGTAGTGAGGAAGGGAAGCGGTGACGAAGGGAGGTGGTGACGATGGGAAGTGGTGACGATGGGAAGTGGTGAGGAAGGGAAGTGATGAGTTGGGGAGGAAGCCGGAGCACGAAACCTTGTGTTTTTCCGTGTAAAGTGGCTGCAGCCGGCGATGAAAGGTACCTCGTCTGTGCGGCGGGTGCGGCTGCGGTCGGTTGGTCGTTTTTTTTTTGCCGCAGTGTAACGGTGGCTTCAAGCTGCTTTGGGTGTGCTTGTGTGTGCGTAGTTATAGGGTGTTTTGGAATCTGTGCTTGCAGATCGCATTGGAATGGCTGCATGATGTTGCAAGGGCTCTGTTGTGGGGAGGAAGCCGAGCACGAAACCTTGTGTTTTTCCGTGTAAAGTGGCTGCAGGCGACGATGAAAGGTACCTCGTCTGTGCGGCGGGTGCGGCTGCGGTCGGTTTATCGGTTTTTTTTTGCCGCAGTGTAATGGTGGCTTCAAGCTGCTTTGGGTGTGCTTGTGTGTGCGTAGTTATAGGGTGTTTTGGAATCTGTGCTTGCAGATCGCATTGGAATGGCTGCATGATGTTGCAAGGGCGCTGTTTTGGGGAGGAAGCCGGAGCACGAAACCTTGTGTTTTTCCGTGTAAAGTGGCTGCAGGCGACGATGAAAGGTACCTCGTCTGTGCGGCGGGTGCGGCTGCGGTCGGTTGGTCGTTTTTTTTTGCCGCAGTGTAACGGTGGCTTCAAGCTGCTTTGGGTGTGCTTGTATGTGCGTAGTTATAGGGTGTTTTGGAATCTGTGCTTGCAGATCGCATTGGAATGGCTGCATGATGTTGCAAGGGCTCTGTTGTGGGGAGGAAGCCGGAGCACGAAACCTTGTGTTTTTCCGTGTAAAGTGGCTGCAGGCGACGATGAAAGGTACCTCGTCTGTGCGGCGGGTGCGACTGCGGTCGGTTTATCGTTTTTTTTGCCGCAGTGTAACGGTGGCTTCAAGCTGCTTTGGGTGTGGTTGTGTGTGCGTAGTTATAGGGTGTTTTGGAATCTGTGCTTGCAGATCGCATTGGAGTGGCTGCGTCAAGGTTGCTTGCCGCCGCAGCTGCATGCGTAATACTATTGTCTTTTGCAGCTGAAGATTGTAAATCGTATTGGAGTGGCTGCATCCAGGCTGCGATAGTCATTTGTCAGCAGATTTTCCCAAATTTGGCGCTAATAATTTTCCTTTTAAAATTCCTTTTAAAAAATGCTTCAAAATCGTCTTTTTTTTGCTTTGGCGTCGAGATCCGGTTTTGGAGCTGCAATTTCCGACGCCGTTGCGCTTAGTTCTATTGTGATTTGCAACTCAGTCTCTGCAGATCGCATTGGAGTGGCTGCCTCAAGGTTGCTTGCCGCCGCGGCTGCATGCGTAATATTATTGTCTTTTGCAGCTGAAGATTGTAAATCGTATTGGAGTGGCTGCATCCAGGCTGCGATAGTCATTTGTCAGCAGATTTTCGCAAATTTGGCGCTAGTAATTTTCCTTTTAAAATTCCTTTTCAAAAATGCTTCAAAATCGTCTTTTTCTTGCTTTGGCGTCGAGATCCGGTTTTGGAGCAGCAAATTGTAGCATACTGGAAACGACTTTGTGCAAGCTTTGTAGTACAAAGTAGTACTGGGGAGTACTTTGTGCAAGTTTTGTAGTACAAAGTAGTACTGGGAATTGTAGTGCAAAGTAGTAGTGGGTGCAAGCTGTGTAGTGCTAAGTAGTATGTACTGGGAAGTAGTACTGGGAAGTAGTTTGTCAGCTAGTTCGTGGATGTAGGTTGCTATTTCGAGTTTTGTGCGCGATATTGATGTAGGTAAATGTTGTGACATTGATGTTCAGGAACAAGCTATAGAACTCTTGATTAGAAACCACGGTGGCGATGTGTTGTGGCCGCAGCCGTTTGCATTTTCCAGGAGGCAAACATGTGTAGCAAGAAAGAATTGGGAACGTGCATTTGTCAGAGGTGTCATGTCTTCAGGTCTCATGGTTAGTCACGAAGATTTTCTCATGTTTTGGAGCGGTTATAGTGGATGAGAAAGGCATGCATGATGAGACAGCCATGCTCATAATTTCGGACGCCGCAGTGCGCAAGGAGACGTGGCAGTGCGGCCCGTTTCCTAAGACGCGGTGGAGCCATGGCGCAATCGGGGACCTTTGCTGATCTGTGGTCATACATCGAGAAGGAAGCGGCGACTTTGAAGGTGCTGGAATGTAAGACGTTGAAAGCTTGTCTAAGCACCGGAAAATGTTGGAAGTATTACAAGATGTGTTTATGCATGATAGACGGAAGGCCAGCATCGATGTCCTATCTCTGGTTTTACGTGCTTGCAGCTGTTTGCAGTGATGACTTCCAAGGATAAAGTACAGTAAGAGAAGTTGCACGGAATACAGTTAGTTCATGCCGTGACGCACATAACCTTGCTATACCTCCATGTCTCTACTTACTGTATTACACGACAGGAGACTCATATTGCAGCTACGCTCTGCTGTTAGAGAATCGCTTTGCGACCATCCTCGTGCGACAGTGCGGTCCACGAGGGCAACCACCATGGCTATCGGACCTTGCGACTTCTGGCGGTTGGCAGTCGATTTCGAATTGCTGGATCTCCATGCGCTCAGCAACGTGAGCGCTGCTTCGACAGCTACGAATGCATGTGTGCTGCAGAGCGCCAACCTTAGAAACTTGCCGCAACGCAAAGTGGAAGAGGAAGGAAATTTGGAGTCGCAAAACTTGAGGATTGACATTGGCTTCGAAGAAATGGCAGCTCTCAAGCATAGCTTGAAGATTGCATTGCACGTCTACAACGCGTTGCAAAATTCACTATGCTTCGCGTGCAGACGAAGTATCCCAACCGAGGAGCGCAGGAATATTGGTTTGGGTTACTTCAAATATGGACTCTGCGCTGGTTGTTTCGAAGCCTTGACAACTGTTTGCACGGAACAAGACGATACCTTGGCAGAACAGCGCTGCGTTGCCCTGACAGATGATGGTGTGCACGCTGCGGCCATGTTGTTGAGTGCTTACCGAGCAGGTGCAGGATGTCGTTTGTCGCAAGCAGATGCAGCTTGGGTCCGCAATGTCATTGCGGATAGTGAGAACTTCTTGCCTGATTTGCTTCGTGAAGTGCCATGACGGCCAACCAGGCTTCCAACGTGATAAGCTCTCCAGCCTTTCGTGCCAGTGCGGGCCGAAAAGCTGCCAAAAGCCTAGACGACCAAGTGTAGCGCAGAGAAAAAAGCAGCTGTCGAGCTTGGACTGCGTGAATCTCCTTGACAGGTAACAACTACACCATGTTCACACTTGCCGTTGCGATTTGATGCAATGCATCAACGCTTGGCATTAATGACCTCAATATTGTAAATATTTTATAGTCTACGCCTTTTGGCATGTAGAAGAATCAACATGAGTTACGCTCAACCTTGCTGACGTGCAGAAGCGCCGAGAAGAGCTCAGATGAGATGAAGTGTGGAGTGTGAAGTGTGGGGCGCGAAGAGTGCAGTGTGAAGTGTGAAGTGTGGAGTGTGAAGAAAGCAATGAGAAGTGAGAAGTGTGAAGTGTGGACTGTGAAGTGTGAAGTGTGGAGTGTGAAGTGTGAAGTGTGAAGTGTGGAGTGTGCAGTGGGAAGCGTGCAGTGTGAAGTGTGGAGTGTGGAGTGTGGAGTGTGGAGTGTGAAGTGTGGAGTGTGAAGCGTGAAGTGCGAAGTGGAGCTTCAAATGTGACATGTGAAACAGGACACCACTTTCGCAGAGTGCACGCACGCACGGGCCTGGCTGGCGCACGGCGCATGCAAGTTCTATAGATGAGAAAGGTCTTATATATATCTTTAAGGCAACTTCCGCCCCGCCTCGTGCGGGTACTACTGGTAGTGATCTATTATTTTTACCAATGAGCAGAGGGTCTTTTGCCAGCAAAAAGTGGGTACGACTATGATAGTACTTTACCGTGAAGATGGGGACAACCTCTTGCAGATGCGGGTTCCCCACAGTGATCATCGGGCGGTTCAGGATTCAAAGTGGGTAAAACGTTTCAGATTAACAAGGTGTTTCTCCCTGTCTTTCACTTCAAAGCACGTGCTTTCTAAGGGCCAAATGCTGCGGCTGCTTCTGAGAGGATTGGTGAAATGGAAGAAGCCCATGATGGACATAATCAGGCAATCTGGGCTTCCCGTTCTTAGGCCAGCTGCAGTGTGCAGCCGTGATCCTTTTGCACCAATGATTGAAGAACAGACGTAGCAAGACAGATTTGAAGAGCAGCTTGCTATGCCACGCTATCTAAAGGAAGAGCAGCTAGAAACAATTGCAGAGAAGACAGATCACCCTTTGAGTTGTCTTGGCAAGATGTTTCCCATGTTTCCCCAGAAAATGTTGGTTAGCTGCCAGGTAGGTGGTTCTCTTGCCAGGTAGGTGGAAACCACGTTGGTTTTCATGATCTTTGGCCAAACGGCTCAGATTTCCAGATCGATTTCACATAGGTCGTGCCTCGTGCCTCGGGCCATGAGGGGCTCAGGGCGTCGGATCGGAAAAAGATGGCGGACTCGTCCTCTGGCCTCTGATTTCCTGATTTTCCGTGACCGGAGGTCCAAGGAACCACTTCAGTTCTAAGCTGATGTAGCATTTTATAGCATTTTATAGCATTTTTATAGCATTTTATAGCATTTTATAGTGATAATTTCCACATTCACTACAGGTGGATGCTTATCTGGATGGTCCCATAGGTTTCGAACCAGCGAAGCTGCCACGGTTCCAGCCACTTTCGACTGCCATCGCCATGCCATCTTTTGGGTGGCTTGCCGGACCGGAGCTGCGAGGGAAACGCTTTACAGGAAACCACCAAAAAGGATGGTAAAAATATGTAAAAATATGAACAAGAATGGGTTTGCCTAGATTTTCCCTGAAACTAATCCATTGATAGAAGGGTTGGGCAGAATGACTAGTGACTAGGGTTGTACCGTGGGTTTTGTTTGACTTCATCTACTGTGAGTGGTAGGGGGGACGTTCTAGGTTCAGGAACAAAAACCCCACGGTATGTCAAATTGGCTGTGTCAGGACTCTTTTCTGATCCGAAAAGATGGTTAGATCAGGGTTGCATGATCCTTTTGGTCATAGGAAGTACCATACTGAACTTTGGGACTGGAGTCTTTTCTGTGACTTCTGGTCGAAGCTCTAGCCAGCAGGTTTGTCCAGTGGGATATACCGCAATGGATTGCCATTTCAATATATATATATATATATATATCGGAAAAAACCGTTTGTCTGAAAATCGGGTGCCCCAACATTTGATTCTTCATCATCGTTTTCCCTGTTGAACTGGCCCTAAGTTTGGGGCACAAGGTTTCCGACACTCCCAAACGATCATCAACCAATATCAAGCATTGGATTTTGGGGTAGCCTAGTTGTGCGACAAACATTGACAAAACCATAGGTCCATAGGTTTCCTCGCCCAGAGGTTTGAGTTGGAATATGCCAAGAGCTCCCGCTCTGCTTGCAAGCAGTGCAAAGAGAAGATCGTCACCTGGCAGGGTCTGGCTTTGGTATATACCCGGTGGCAAATTGATATAGATATAAATAAAAGGACCGGATAACCCCACAAGTCACCTTCTTCCAATAATGAGCCAGAAATGTTGTAGCGGGGACAGGGAAGGAAGGAAAGACAAAGGAGGAGGTGGAGGAAAGATGGTGTGACAAAGTTGCGTATGAAAGATGATGTGTGAAAGATGGTGTGCGAAAGATGGTGTGTGACAAAGCTGTGTGTGAAAGATGGTGTGTGAAAGATGGTGTGTGAAAGATGGTGTGTGACAGAGTTGTGTGTGAAAGATTGTGTGTGTGTGACAAAGTAGTGTGTGAAAGATGGTGTATCAAAGATGGTGGGTGACAAAGTTGTGTGTGTGTGTGTGAAAAATGGTGTGTAAAATATGGTGTGTCAAAGAGGGTGTGTGAAAGATGGTGTGAGAAGTGGAGCTGTGATGGGTTGTGAATAGTGAGAGAAGTGGTGTGAAAAGTGGAGCTGTGATGAGTTGGGATGTGATAAGTTGTGATGAGTTGTGATGAGAAGTTGTGATGTGATAAGTGAGGTGTGAGAAGTGAAGCTGTGATGGGTTGTGATGATGAGTGGAGCTGTGATGAGTGGTGATGAGTTGTGATGAGAAGTGGACCCGTGAGAAGTGATGAGAAGTGAAAGCGTGAGAAGTGGAGCTATGATGATGAAGTGGAGCTGTGATGAGTGAGGTGTGACAAGCGGAGCTGTGATGAGTTGGGATGTGATAAGGTGTGATGAGACAGTGATAAGTGGGGAGTGAGATGTGGTGTAGTGATGAGTGGTGAATGATGAGTGAGATGTGATAAGTGGTGAGTGAGCTGTGAGAATGGTAAGTGAGAAGTGATGAGTGAGATGTGATAAGTGGTGCGTGATGAGGGGTGAATGATAAGTGGCGCCTGCCACGCGAAAGCAGCCGCGGCCGCAGCTCCGCCAGGAGGCTCTGTCTACTGCGCCTGCCACGCGGAACGCAGCCAGGAAGCTCTGTGTACTGCACCTGCCACGAGAAAGGCAGCCGCGGCCCAGCGGCGGCCACGCGCGCCGCAGCTCCGCCAGGAGGCTCTGTGTACTGCGCCTGCCACGTGAAACGCAGCCAGGAAGCTCTGTGTACTGCGCCTGCCACGAGAAAGGCAGCCGCGGCCCAGCGGCGGCGATGCGCGCCGCAGCTCCGCCAGGAGGCTCTGTGTACTGCGCCTGCCACGCGAAACGCAGCCAGGAGGCCACGCGCGCCGCAGCTCCACCAGGAGGCTCTGTGTACTGCGCCTGCCACGCGAAACGCAGCCAGGAAGCTCTGTGTACTGCGCCTGCCACGAGAAAGGCAGCCGCGGCCCAGGCCCAGCGGCGGCCACGCGCGCCGCAGCTCCGCCAGGGAGGCTCTGTGTACTGCGCCTGCCACGAGAAAGGCAGCCAGGAAGCTCTGTGTACTGCGCCTGCCACGAGAAAGGCAGCCGCGGCCCAGCGGCGGCCCAACGCGTCCGCCGCAGCTCCGCCAGAGGCTCTGTGTACTGCGCCTGCCAAGCTAAACCATCCAGGAGCTCTGTGTACTTGCGCCTGCCACGAGAAGGCGCTCGTCCCATCGCGGCCACTACGCTCGCCGCAGCTCCGCCAGGAGGCTCTGTGTACTGCGCCTGCCACGCGAAACGCAGCCAGGAAGCTCTTTGTAACACGAGAGCCAGCCGCGGGCCAGCGGCGCCCACGCGCGCCGCAGCTTCTCCAGAGGGCTCCGCAGCTCCTCCGTGAGTGAGTGAGTGAGGGAGTGGAGGGAGTGAGTGAGTGAGTGAGCGAGGGAGTGAGTGTGTGAGTGAGTGAGTGATGAGTGAGTGAGTGATGAGTAGTGATGCGTGCGGCGCGGCGGCGGCGGACGGAGGAGAGCGGCGGGATCCAAGCGAAAAACAAGAACCCCACACAAGGAATATTCTTAACAAATGGTAGGTGTTCCGTATCTATGTTGATTTTCTGGATGTTGGGTTGAGCTTCAGTTCTTGATCTAGAATCTTTTGGAATGATCTCGAGGAGTCTATAGGTTGAGAAGCTGGGATCCCCAGTCTTTGCCTCGGTTATTTTCAACTTGTTTTTTTAGCCAGGTGAGTACTTGGCTGCATTCCCAGCATCGGTTTAGGGGGAAATCTGCAGGAACCCTCTATAATTGGTGGTCAAAAGCCATGGTTTCCTGTAGATTTTCCCACCAACCAATGGCTGCATGGGGTGTTGCCTAAGGAAAAGGACACCTTAAGAATCGGCCTGAAAGTGCTCATAGATGCTGCGCCGGATGATGCGGAAGCAAGGCGGGTGATGTGAGTGATGCCTATGACCTGGGAATGTTCAGAACTCATGCGGTACTGTGGATGCTCCATGGTTCAATAAGTGGCTTTTATTGACAGGAAACGAGTGAGTTGGTTGCTATGGCTTGACAGGAAAAGAGCACATAGCATGGAATCTGCCAAGTGGCATCATGAAGGCAGGGTGAAACAGAACATGGGGACATGGGGATATGGGGATGAATATGATGAATTGCAAAAGGGAGGGCTTGAAACATATTTGAGAATCTCAGTGATTTCACTGTCCCAGTGGACATGCTCCAATGGCTCGATTTACGAACAGCGTTCGAATCTGGTCTAGGCACGTTGACCGAACATGTTTTTGTTCATTTGAGTGGCACTCTTGATGTTGATGGTGAAAAGATACTTGGTCACTTCGATTTTGTCAATATGGGTTAGCCGGTTAGAGCAGAAGAGAAGAACTGAGAAACCACTGATTTTGAGGTACCCTACTATGGGACAAACCCAGACACCTATCAGATGGCTGGCTGATGCTGCAGGCTGCTTTCCCAAGATCAAAGGCAAAACTTGGTTCCGACAGCACCTACCTGAGGAGAAAATGTGGCAGCTCCATAACGGGAATGCTATTTTCGAAGCGCATCTGACCCTTGAAGCGATGAAGCTGAGGGTTTTGGGTATGGCCGTGTGGCACCAGCTTGACATTTGCTCGTGAGGAGCCTGATAGCATCACGGGATTTGATGCGTTGAAAGAAGATGACCAACAGAAGGTGGGTATGACAGCCTGATGATTCAGAGATGTTGGAAAGTTGCTGGAGGGTTTAAATTTTTAACTTGTCCCATAAATGATGGCATTTGGTCGGTATCCACAGTTTGCTGACATTTTATCCTGCATCCATTTCAGTCAGGTGGGCAGGTGAAACTGGAAGGAGACTAAATAACTGCAAGGTTTTCCATACAAGTAAGCACCGGTGGTGACCAAAATCTCTCCACATTTGTGTTTCGATCATTCAGAAGTGGCAGAAAACGAAAGGACGCCTGTGAGCATTTTTGAACAGTTACATACGCACGTGTTCATATGAGTGTGTATGTATACAGATATCTTAATCATGAATCTAATCTCTCTATTATACATATGTATGTATATTAGTATATATGTATATATATATATATTTGTATGCATTATGCATATAGGAGAATCTGCTTGGAGCCATGGAAGTTTAACATCATTTATATAATGTCCCCCAAAACACGAATTTCGGCTGCCAGTTACCCCAGTTACCCAAAAAGCCATGGACGCCGAAGGTGAAGCTTTTGCTGCAAAGTTGCAGGGGTGAGGAGACTGAGACTGAGACGCCCAAGGCGGGATGATGGTGGATGCTGGTTGGGAGACGATTTTTGGATTTTTGGATACTGTTGCTGATACATACATCTATTATATTCTATTATCATCTATTATCATCTATTGTATTCTATTATTTATTATATATCTAATACTACAAACATTACAAACTGTAGATAAAATGTATAAAACTACAGCTTCTGGTCCCTCCATTCGTTTTATGGACCATCCACTGATAAAAAAAAACCGACTTTGCCAGGGCAATAAGCGCAAAGCTGATCCCGATCAAAAGCCTGGGCCTGAAGATATCTTATCGGATATCAGCATTGTGCGCTCCAATCAAAGCCTTTGGAGCCCAAAATCCTACCCTCTGGTAAACGTTTACATAACTATGGAAAATCACCATTTTTAATGGGAAAATCCACTATAAATCACCATTTTCAATAGCTATGTTAAATTACCAGAGGGTAATGATTTGATGATGTGATGTATTCAGGTCGAGCAAGAAATCAAAGTTCTTCGCCAGTCAGGTGTTCGTCAACACATTTGCTGAGCCCCAAATTCGTTGAGGGTGGATAGGTCCAAGAAAATTGCAAAGCCATTACCAAGTGGAAGATGATTTTAGAAAGAAGTCCAGATAGTGAGGCGTCAAGACCACAATTACTGCAGAAATGGAGCTTGATCACGATTTTCTGTCATGGTGAGTGCAAGCAGGCTGCACATTTAAAATTTTCACTAGAATTTGGTCATTGCAGTGGTTGGATCTAAGGTCTTCTCACAGTCCTTCTCACCTTTTCTTCATTTTCCGCGACATTCTTTTCTTGTAATACCCGGTGTTCATGCCAGGAGGATCAAGCAAGTGCCCTCAGTGCAGAGGAGCAAAAGTCCATTGAGACACTGAAGGCTCACTGAAGATTCCATCGGGAACGATACATATCCGACATATCCAGATGTGGCTGACGGGAACAGATTGCAGGCGGAGCTCTGCAAGAAGAACGTGGCAGCTTTAGGCTGGGAACACCGGCTCCAAAGTGGATCCACCAATCGATGGTTGGAACATGTTTGAAAGACAATAGCGCACTTGACACTTCATAGTGCAATCTTAAATGATGCATTGTTTTTTTTGTGACCAAGGCTCTTGTGTGGGCTTGAAAATGCAATTCAACGCAGTGCAATTGAGAAAGGCAAAACTTCCAGATGCCCAAGATGCACAGTGCAGGAGCAATGCTGGCAAAGAATGGCTTGCCCAAGCGGACGACTCAGGCGTCCAAATTCCCCAGGAATCCAATGTGTTGTATCGCGTCCTCATTTTACTGAAATGCCTGGACATATCCCATTTCTGCTAACGTTTTCCCAACATGTTCCCCAACATTTCAGTGCCATTCACCAGGTCTGACCTTCCGAGGTCAGGGAAAAAGGAGGAGCTCTTGGATCGAGTGGCGGAAGCCAAAGCCTTAGGCGTCCCGTAGGGAAGCTCAGAAGGGATGGGATGATATTGATGATCTTAGTGGTACGAATATGAACAAAACAATACTATTATGATGTAATCCCATATTTATATATATATATATATGTATATATATATGTATATATATATGGGAAGTATATATATTTATTTATATAAATATGTATGTGTATATATCTATTTATCTATTATACAGATACATATACACATACATGTCCAATGTGATTTATACTTCCAATGATCTTGATAGATTTAGTATCTAATATTTGGGGGCATGTGTAAGGTCTGAATAGATGTGCTCGAATATGTATTCCTTTCCAAATGTACCATACATGTAATGTCATGTAGTTGCGGAGGACGACGACGACGACGACGATGATGTATCCAGTGCAACTTAATTCCGTGTAGTTTGATCATATTTTGTCCAATGTAACTTAGTTTAATTTGTTTAAATGCAACTGATGGATGGATCATGATGGATGGATAGATGCATGCCATTACAAGGCATGCTTTCTCCGATGCATGCTTTCTCCGATGGATATGTATACTCACACATATATAATATATTTATACTTGGGAACAGTCGCATGTATATTATATATATGATAGGTGTATATCTATGTATACATACATATGGACATGTATATATATATATATCTACATACATACATACATACATACATACATACATACATACATACATACATACATACATACATATATATATATATGTACAGTATATATATATATGTGTGTATATACATATATATATAGGTATGTATATATATATACACTATACATATGTATATATATATATGTATACATATATATATATATACACATATATTTGTACACATATGTGGACGCATGGATTGAATGCACCAATTCTTCTTTTCCGTTTGCCGTTGTGGTCACAAGCGAGGCCTGTGTGCCCGCTGTGTGAGAAGCAGAAACTGCGATTCTCCAAGGTCACAGGCACCGAGAGCAGTTTGTAGATGTTTTATCCCATTGTAGTCCCATTATTAATACTGGTACTATAATGGGTTCCTTTTACTATAATAATACTAATACTGGTACTAAAATATATCCCATTATTACTGGTAAAACAAAGGGTAGATGTTATTTTAGTACCAGTAATAATAAATACGGATTACATTGATGGTAGATCTACCAGTAATAATGGGATAGTTATTCCTATTATTCCCAACTAGGAATATAGTCCGAGAATAAAGCACTGAGTTAGTATTACTGGTAGTTATTGCAGTGTTTTTATAGGAAATCCAACAATTACTATGGTCCCATGATTACTGGTAGATGTTTTATCCCGTTATTTGCAGTGTTTCATAGGAATCCCAACAGTTTCCAGCTGGTGCAGGATTTTGCAACCATCCACAGTATCGGGAGATACGTATTGAGCATTTGGGATTTAACCCACATTAACCAATAAAAGTGATGGTTTATATAATCAAGCAATCTAAAGTGTAAATGGGAATGGAGTGCACTGGGGTACAACATGATATTTGGGTGTGTCGAAAATCAACACTTTGGAATGGGTTGTAACTTTATGGCCATTGAAGAATGGGGGAAATGGTGATGAACCGTGGGATGGAATGGGGTATTTTCAGACAGGAAGCGGAAATATACAGAAACTCCTTGTCCCCACACTTGCCAAAGACCTGTCTCCAGATCCATCCAGATCTGATGAATCGTTTTTCGAGGTAGCTACAGCTGTCCGGGCTTCTTTGACGATGAATCCAAGTCCTTCAAGAGATGCAAGGCTCGCCTCGTGAGCTGATCTCCATGGAGGGGTTTTTGGGCGCTGAAGCCATGGAGCTGCCAGGGACCTGGAGATGACACCCAGCTTGCAGGGAGCTAAGGGCGGGCTGAGCACGGCTGATTCGCTAAGGATGTCTATTTTGCTGCCAAAAATCTGCCACAAATGGCAACTCGCTGAGAAACATGAGTTAGGTCATGACGGTCATGAGACTTCAGCAAGTTGAAAACACTGCCAACTTCATCTATCAATCTATCCCAAGATGTCTCAAAGATTATGAGGACATGACACCACTTCCTTTCTTTCGGGTCGAGAGTCCAGCTTCCAACAGCAGTCTTGTTCGATGCCTCCAACAGCGTGTATCGAGGTCCGCACGAGTTGGCAGGAATTGGGCGCCTGAAAGGCCTGAAAGGCCTGAAAGGCCTGAAAGGCCTAAGGTGTGTGTTGGTGACAACATCGACACAAATCGACACCTCGGGGGATCCTCGCAGCGCAGCCGGCCAAGGGCCAGGCTTTGGGGACTTTGGGGACGCGCCGCGGGTGAAAGAGCGAAAAGGGCAGATATGTGGAGTTGGATGAGGTTCGATGTTGGAGGATGTAGGTTGGATGATGGCTTCTTGAGGATGTGGGTTGATTTCACAAACATGACAATTTTTCATAAATTTCCTGGTATTCTGGTGACAACAGCTGCTTGCTGCGGAGGAAAGGAATGATTTTCAGGCCACGAGGGGCAGCTGACTGGATGCACATGATCAGCTTCTTTAAGGATCAAATAGGAGAAACGCGCAGACATTTCCATGACATGAATGCCAATGCAACGAGATGACAACCACTCCACTATTCGACAAAGAAGAGAGAAACTCCTGCAACTTTCAGGTGCCTGGAGCGTAGGTCAGTAATCTTTTCCCGGGGCAACAACATTTGGGATAGCTAGGATCAGTCTTAGAAGAAGGCAGCGCAGCGGAAATTCCACAAGCAGTCGAGAAACGGCAAGCAACCCTCAAACTCTCAAACACTTAAAACTTCATCCCGCTTCTTTCTTGCCCCACCTGGGCTATTTTCACATTTTCACATGCCGATGGTCCTGAGGGTCAGCCATGGAAGCTGCCAGACGTTTTGAGCTGAGAATGTTGCCCGTGCAAAGTGACAAGAATTAGTGGTGGTAATTTGGCTCAAACATGCAGGTTTTCAGGCTGACTGATAGTCTCAGGATATTGCTGATGTGCAGCAGCACAGTGCTTGTTGGTCGGGGTATCGCTTCTGCCGCCACTTTTGCATCGTTATTTCGCCGGTTTTGTTTAGGTTTCTGGCATTAGCAGTTGATGCTTTGTTCCGGATCTGCTATACTTGGAGCTGTGTGTGCAAGTGAACATGAACGTGATTGCCGCCCCACCCACCCCACCCGAATGATCAGTGCGTATTGAAACTATATGTGTGAGTGATTCCGGTGTTGCAAGTGAGTCGCTCCGGTGTCGCAAGTGACGTGCCCTGGTGGCACAAGTGATGTCTGCAGCTGGTCATGCGAGCCATCCTTGAAGAAGTTGACATTTTCAGGTTGAAAGTCAAAGAGAGAGGTTTGTACAGTATTAGAGTTTACTGAAGGTTACAAGTGCAAAGCTGCTGAGGATATCCAGATAATTACTGTACATAGAGTGCAATCCAGAATACACACTTTTAATCACTTTCATCTCTCTCCCTGTCCATCTCTGAGGTGAGGCGGCCAGGTCCATGAAAAATGCTCAGCTGACGCCACTTGGCAAAGTGTGGTACTTGAAGCTGGTGCTTCAGCTGGTTTCCATCCTGTATAGAGGGCAGTAGGAACACGAAGTTGCCGGGCGATCGAAGTATTCGAATTATTTATATCATTTGAAATCATTTCCAAGGTTTTCCCAACGGGCATCCATATGGCTTGTCCCATGTGAAAGGTAGAAGTGAAGGACATGCCCCTGCAGATTTCAGGCTGCACAGCACCGTTCTCCTCTTGTCCCTTGGCAGGCGAGTTCCTGGATCAAAGTGTTGTTGTGTCCAGCTAATAGCAAGGGGCTGATTTTTCCGGCTTTGAGCTTGGACATATGTTTTTGATCGTCTGGCCGATGTGGGCTTTAAATGACCGAACTTCTGACGCGATAAATTGGTTGCTAGTGGGTCCAGGTCTTGTTTTTTTTGCTCCCTTGTGATGCCGAAGTGAGAAAAGAAGACCTTCATAAAATGGATCTTTCTATCCACCTATCTACCCATCTACCTATTTGCCTATCTGCCAATCTGTAGATATTTATATGGGAGCGTGTATATATATTTATATATATATACAATATTTATATATATATATAATATTTATATATATATATTATCCATTTATCGGTGAATTGTACTAAAGCAGATGACTTCCCGCTGTTGTGGCGCTTCCACGGTGCCATCGCAGTTGGTTGCTGCTCTTCACGGTGGAGCTGGGTGCAGTGGCCAGTGAGGGCGAGGAGGTCTTTCACCCCAGCAGGCTGTGGCTGTAGAGACAGGGCGCCTTGAAGTTTTTGAATGCATGGTGTCTAGGGGTAAATCTATATTGTACATACACACATACGTACATACGTACATACGTACATACAATACAATACAAATACAAACACAAATACAAATACAAATACAATACAATACAATACAATACAAATAGAATACAATACAATACAATACAATACATAGATAGATAGATAGATAGATAGATACAAAGATACCCACGTACGTACGTACGTACTACGTACATACATACATACATCCATACATCCATGCATGCATGCATGCACACTATAATATCTGTATATACAATACGTATATAGCAATCAAAAAATATAGGTGAATGCATGCTTTGCCTTAGTACCAAGAAACAGATGCCCTGTTTGACAGGAAGGTTTTGTGGAACAAAATCTAGGCAGGTTCATAGTTGGATAAACAACTTACACATGAGTCTTGAAGAATTTGTTGGCCTTCTGTTGGTCCACTGACATGGCATGCAGGCTTGGTGCCTACATCACCAGTGCAGGATTTGGAGTGGCACGGGCGCCAGAAACAGTGCATTCCAAGAAAAGCATCCAAGCAACTAACTGTCCATGTTGATTTGCGTCTTCTGCAAAATAGACGGATGTATCCACACATGATTCATAGTATTCACAGGTATTCACTAGACAACAGTCAGTGGATTGGTTCTAAAGTTTAGGGGAAATTGTACAGAAAACCCATCAAATTGATAGGGAAAACAATGGTTTCCGGTGAAGATCTTCCCACCCAACAAAACCAATCCAGTGAAACAGATCCAGTCCTACACCTGTATGGATGCTGTTAGGTCACATGTCTGCTGCTGACCCTCTGGTGTTTGGGCGCCTCTGGAAGGACTGCTGACGTAGCCCTGTGACCGGAGGTCAAAATGGCTCAATACTGTTGTATCAGATGAATATCAGATGATGAATAATCATGATTATATCAGTTTTTTTTTGGGTCGTGAACTGCAGGGTACCGTTTGGTTTGTGACCCAAAGCCATCTAGGTCACGTATCCACGTATGGTCAGTGAAATGGTGACATGACTATTGGAGGGATGGTTTCAGATCAGTTGTGAACTTGGAGCACTTCTAGAAATAGCCTTGCAGGTAGGCGAAAACTGAGACAACGACAGGTTGCTTTCAAGTTGTGCGAACTGAAGGATTCCCCAGAGAACACGTCATTCCAGCGCAAGACCCTGCAGTATATAGTCTGTCTGAAAATGGAGTACCCCACAACTATCTTTCCCAAATCCACTGGCTATTTTGCGGTCATCCCATGATTCTGGTTGGTTAGTACATAATTAAGGGGCTACGCCCCCTGCCGCCGACCCCTGGGAGAGAGCGATATCTGAGGCACCCTGAGGCATCCTGAGGCTGTGTTTGGCCATTTTGCAGAGGCTCGGAACGCATTCCTTCAAAGTGAGGAATCTTCTTTTGCCAATAGTGGCACCCACGGCACACAATCATTTAAAAGCAGCATGTAGTGACGACTGAATGGTTCCTTTCTACGTTCTATAGATATTTATGGAACAGTAGGATTCAAGCCCAAATCCCCACTTGCCCCTTTCAGTTTGGGGCAAAGTCTGTATTGATATCATCAGATATCACTTGCACCCTGTTTGGTTCCAAATTTGTTGGAAAGGAACAGAAGCCGCCAGTGTGAACACAAAGAAATCCGGAGCCCATTAAGGGCCTTTGCGGTCCCCATTTTCCTCATTCCGAAGTTGAAGTGTTTTCCCCTACCCGGCCCTTCTTCGCCGGACTAACCACATTGCTTCGCTGCCACTGAATCGTGCCAAAGCCATGTCGCTCTTCAGTGGAGATAATGAGCTGCTCGGATGAATTTGTTGGTTCAGCCAGAGAGTACATCAAATATCACGTCAACAAGGTCCGCGCCCTCCAATGGGCAAACGCCCGAGGACACCTACCGTATTTATTTGTGGCACGCGATCTTGCTTCGGCAGCGGTCCTCCAAGAAAAGCCGAATCTGACGGCCGAGAAATTGCAGTGGTTGCAGCGACACGACAAAGAATGCGGTGGGCTGTATGGCGTCTTGCCGCTGTGCGTGGGCATGCCTGTTCGGGCCACAGACCACCTAGACCGCAAGCGTGGAATCCTGAAAGGCACCAAGGGCTATGTAGTCGGTTGGTCTGCGATTGCCGATGCGACACCTGCACCCGAAGGAATGGTGTGCAACAACTTGCCGGCCGTGGTATACGTGAAGTTTGACACCGCCACGTCGTGGCAAATATCCGGTGTCCCGGACGCAAACGTCTACCCAGTTGTGACCTGCAGACGCGTGTGGTACTTGGACCGGCAACGTCGAAGCCCCAAGCTCCGTGTCTCACGCACCCAATTCCCGCTGGCGCCGCAGTTTGCTATCACAGCGCATGTCGCACAAGGCCAAACCATCAAGGAAGGCGTGACGACAGATCTTTGCATAGGGCCGAGGGGAAATCCATTTACCGTCTACGTCGCCATTACCCGCGTGCAAGGCCGTGAGAAGCTCCTGATCTTTCGACCTTTTGACGCCGCTCCATTCCAGAAAGGTATTGGTTTAGGGCGGGACCTGCTGCTCCGACATCTTCGCAGGGAACCGATCAATTGGCAGGACTTGCTGGCCAAATATTGTGAAGAACGCGTGTGTTCAACCTGCGCAGAGCGCAAGCCATCTACAGCTTTCACCGGTGGCCAGTGGAAGCGCGACGACAAAGATCGCGTTTGTCGCGAATGCACAAAGCAGATGCCGGGACGCCATGGCAATGCAACGTCTGCAAGCTGTGGCATGTCGAGACCAATTTTCCAGCAAAGCATCGGCAACGTCAATGTAGTTTTTACCGTGTGTGTTTGACATGCGAAGCCAAGAAACCATGTTTCAAATGTGGCGTTGCGAAACCGGAAGCCGAATTTGGACCGGCCGCATGGAAAGCTCGCAACGCGGACCGCCGCTGCTGCAGAGAATGTACCACCAAACAGCGGGGGTGTTGGCAATGTTCCCAGTGCAGCGAACGCAAGCCACGAGCAGAGTTCACAGCTTGGCAGCAAAGTCGGAAACATACGCAGGATGGTACACAAGTATGCAATGCATGCACAGCCTTTGCCTTCGTGTGTCGTCTTGCTCATCGCACAAATCAACGCTTGGCCCGCTTGCGCCAACGCGAATCCCGTCAACGACACGAAGCAATCCTAGCAGACGTTCGCAAGGAGATTCAGAAAATGCACGAAGCTAGACAAACGTCGACGGGAACAGACGAAACCAGAACGGGCGTTGCCCAGACATCGACCCAGCCGCTTGCTGCGAGGCCCGACGCAGCTACGCCGCGAGTGTACACATACCTTTGCCCGCACTGCGCCAAATCTGTGCCAAGCACGGTGACGACAGGGCAAGTCGATCACCGCCACGGTGATGGCTGCGGCAAATTTTTTCGCGTTGCGAATGGCCGGCTTGCAGGTCGCACACATGCACACACATGTCCAACATGCGGCACGGTGGTGCATTCAACAAAAGTTTCCGGGCAAATTCAAATAACGCATCGCACGCCCAACGGAAAGCAGTGTCGCACCGACCGATGGCCCGTGCAGAACTGATCACAAACGGAGGCTTCACCCAACAGCAGAACTCCGAGGGACGGATGCAGCAGAGCCGCGGCCCCAGCCGCCAGGCTTCACAAACGGCGCCTTGGCCACACCAAAACGGCAGGGCCCTGAGGGACGGACCGGGCCTGCCTCCAAAACAGCAGGGCCCTGAGGGACGGACTGGGTCTGCGGGCCACGGGCCCCACTGCCTAACGTTGCTTTCTGAACCTACAAGAAAACTAGCTGTCTGAGCTGTCTTCCAGTCGCCAAAAGCTTCACAAACGGCGCCTTCGCCACACCAAAACAGCAGGGCCCTGAGGGACGGACTGGGCCTGCGGGCCACGGGCCCCACTGCCTAACGTTGCTTTCTGAACCTACAAGAAAACTAGCTGTCTGAGCTGTCTTCCAGTCGCCAAAAGCTTCACAAACGGCGCCTTCGCCACACCAAAACAGCAGGGCCCTGAGGGACGGACTGGGCCTGCGGGCCACGGGCCCCACTGCCTAACGTTGCTTTCTGAACCTACAAGAAAACTAGCTGTCTGAGCTGTCTTCCAGTCGCCAAAAGCTTCAGAAACGGCGCCTTCGCCACACCAAAACAGCAGGGCCCTGAGGGACGGACTGGGCCTGCGGGCCACGGGCCCCACTGCCTAACGTTGCTTTCTGAACCTACAAGAAAACTAGCTGTCTGAGCTGTCTTCCAGTCGCCAAAAGCTTCACAAACGGCGCCTTCGCCACACCAAAACAGCAGGGCCCTGAGGGACGGACTGGGCCTGCGGGCCACGGGCCCCACTGCCTAACGTTGCTTTCTGAACCTACAAGAAAACTAGCTGTCTGAGCTGTCTTCCAGTCGCCAAAAGCCTCACAAACGGCGCCTTCGTCACACCAAAACTGCACGGCCCTGAGGGACGGACTGGGTCTGCGGGCCACGGGCCCCACTGCCTAACGTTGCTTTCTGAACCTACAAGAAAACTAGCTGTCTGAGCTGTCTTCCAGTCGCCAAAAGCTTCACAAACGGCGCCTTCGCCACGCCAAAACTGCAGGGCCCTGAGGGACGGACTGGGCCTGCGGGCCACGGGCCCCACCTTCGCCACACCAAAACTGCAGGGCCCTGAAGGACGGACTGGGCCTGCGGGCCACGGGCCCCACTGCCTAACGTTGTCGCCAAAAGCTTCAGAAACGGCGCCTTCGCCACACCAAAACAGCAGGGCCCTGAGGGACGGACTGGGCCTGTGGGCCACGGGCCCCACTGCCTAACGTTGCTTTCTGAACCTACAAGAAAACTAGCTGTCTGAGCTGTCTTCCAGTCGCCAAAAGCTTCAGAAACGGCGCCTTCGCCACACCAAAACAGCAGGGCCCTGAGGGACGGACTGGGCCTGCGGGCCACGGGCCCCACTGCCTAACGTTGCTTTCTGAACCTACAAGAAAACTAGCTGTCTGAGCTGTCTTCCAGTCGCCAAAAGCCTCACAAACGGCGCCTTCGCCACACCAAAACTGCACGGCCCTGAGGGACGGACTGGGCCTGCGGGCCACGGGCCCCACTGCCTAACGTTGCTTTCTGAACCTACAAGAAAACTAGCTGTCTGAGCTGTCTTCCAGTCGCCAAAAGCTTCACAAACGGCGCCTTCGCCACACCAAAACTGCAGGGCCCTGAGGGACGGACTGGGCCTGCGGGCCACGGGCCCCACTGCCTAACGTTGCTTTCTGAACCTACAAGAAAACTAGCTCTGTCTGAGCCGTCAGTCGCCAAAAGCTTCACAAACGGCGCCTTCGCCACACCACAACTGCAGGGCCCTGAGGGACGGACTGGGCCTGCGGGCCACGGGCCCCACTGCCTAACGTTGCTTTCTGAACCTACAAGAAAACTAGCTGTCTGAGCTGTCTTCCAGTCCCCAAAAGCTTCAGAAACGGCGCCTTCGCCACACCAAAACAGCAGGGCCCTGAGGGACGGACGGGCCTGCGGGCCACGGGCCCCACTGCCTAACGTTGCTTTCTGAACCTACAAGAAAACTAGCTGTCTGAGCTGTCTTCCAGTCGCCAAAAGCCTCACAAACGGCGCCTTCGCCACACCAAAACTGCACGGCCCTGAGGGACGGACTGGGCCTGCGGGCCACGGGCCCCACTGCCTAACGTTGCTTTCTGAACCTACAAGAAAACTAGCTGTCTGAGCTGTCTTCCAGTCGCCAAAAGCTTCACAAACGGCGCCTTCGCCCCACCACAACTGCAGGGCCCTGAGGGACGGACTAGGCCTGCAGGCCACGGGCCCCACTGCCTAACGTTGCTTTCTGAACCTACAAGAAAACTAGCTGTAAGCTTCACAAACGGCGCCTTCGCCACACCAAAACTGCAGGGCCCTGAGGGACGGACTGGGCCTGCGGGCCACGGGCCCCACTGCCTAACCTTGCTTTCTGAACCTACAATGTTGCTTGTAATCTCTTCTCTGACGCGCTCCCCCTGCTGTCGGCAGGGGTCGGCGGATTTGGTCCTCAAGGCCTCAAGGTGGTAGAAATTGGGTTCAGAATCTGGAACCTTTATTTGGGTGTGGATTGGCAGATGTTTTGATCTGCCGTAAGGGGCGCGATGTTCAGCCGCTTCAATGCCTTGCTCACAGAGGCGAGCGGCGAGCGGCGATGCCGAACCATGTTGAGGAGATGGTCGGTAAGATGGGAAATTCCACGTACAACTGTGAATATATCTTAATATGTATTTGTATATATATATATATACATATACGCATATATAGATGTGCGTGTATGCATTTATGTGTTATTATATGCGTTTATATTTTGCTTTTTATTATATATATGTGTGTGATTGTGAAAGGTGATATGTTAAAACCAAACATGAATCCCAAATCAACTTCCTCTTGTGTGGAAAGCTTCGGGGGTGGTCATCGCAAGGCTTTGCAGACACGGAAGACCCCTACCTTGCGGTATGTCGACATCTACACTCTTGGTGCTTCTATGCCTGAAGAGACGCTTCTCCGCAGACCTGCGGATGTAGGGATGTGGAAGAGCCAGTTTTCGGACCTTTTTTTCTCGGCCATGTGGCATCCACATATTCAACCCAGGGACACAAAGACTTTCGATGGCCAGTACTTTTATCTAGAACCACCTACCTCACTACCAGGTCACTACCATAAAGATTCAACTTTGGAATGCCATTTATGGTTTCATTGCTTCAAATCTCCAGGACGGTGCAGGGCCACGGAACGCAGATCCTTCAGCTTTGGACCTGGCAAGCTCTCTTAGGCCAGGGAAAAAAATGCCAGAGACATATGGTAAATCTATGGAAAGTCTATGGAAAATCTATGGCCCAATGGTACCAGATATTTGTACATATGGATAATCCAGGGAACATTTGGATCATGATGGATTATCATGGATTGTCATGGATTATCATATATTATCATGGATTATCCATATGTGCAGATTATCCAAATAAAGTCCAGATAAAATGAAGATGTTTGCAATGCTATGTGTCATCCTTTGCCCTTTGCAAACATATGCCATATGATAACTTTCGATGATTGGGGATATTGAAATGATGTTTTGCCATTTGTATACCTTGAAGAAATCACCTACTGTAAATATGAGCAAATATGCCAGATGGATCTATGGATGATCTCTATCATGTCCATGCACAGCATTTCATACATTCCATGGATACTCTGCATATCCCAAGCCCAAGCTCAGCTGCTGTCTCCGCTGGTCAGGTGGCTTCTGCCCCAGCTCCATAGCGAGACCAGAGAGCCAGGTTCAATTCGATGGACCTTTATGCTGGAAGACTTCGGCCCGGAACTCAGAGTAGAAAAACCTGGCGTATTTTTGGGGGTCAACTGGGTCAACATATTTCAGGCTGAAAGGTGTTGAAAGTCCCAAAAGGGCAACTTTGATGAGTAGATCTCATTAATCTGATGGATCTGATGGGTTTTGATGGGTTTCAGGGCCTCCATTTTCGCAAGGTGACAGACTTGGCGGAATGCAAAACATATTCCACGTACACGGGGTCCTCTTTCTGGCAGTGTTTGAACAGCACCTTGGAGGCAGATGAAGGTTGGAAGCTTCAGAAAGTGTCAGGACATCTTGGAAATCGAGACTTGTAAAGTGTGGAAAGTGGTGGAGTTTGACAGGTGAACAAAGATGTTCAGGGATTTGTGGGGCATTTTGTTGGAAGATGCTATAAGACGCGCCCCATGTGTGAAACATCCAAGGCCAACCATGCTCGCTCACCGTGGTCTCAACGCAAACACTGGCCACCACCAGCACAGTCACCACCACAACGATGGCCAGGTTTGAGCCCGTGGATGGCGGTGTTGGCCGTGCTTGCCGCGGCAGCAGTTCCAGTGACAACTCAGCTCAGTACTTCGATGTAGCCTGGCGGATTGGCCCCGCCTGCAGGGAATCTTTAGCCCCACATGGTGCCACTTCGGGGGACGAAACACACCACAGCTGGAAACAACTGGAAGCCAACCATTTTCAGCACACATCAGCACACATCAGCACACAAAATTACCAAAAGATACAAAAAGATGGTAGTAGTTACTGTACTGTAGTAGTTTACCAGCCATCACCATGGTTTTTCTGTCGTCTCAACAGCTGCGTCTCTCAGGTTGTGTCTGTCCCGACCTTGGACGAATGCAAGGAGCTGTGTACCATGAAGCAGGAGCCGCCCAAGCCAACAGCATCCAACCGCGCAGTCACACTGCAAGTCACACCTGCGTGGTGTTCCCAAAACTACACCATCAAAATTGTCAAAATCCATCAAAGATACAGAACAAAACAATGGGGTTCCCCGGATTTCCAGTGTAAGTTTGCCATAATTCACCTTTTCACTAAGCCGAGTCGACTTTGGACGTGTTGGTTTCCAGATCCCCGTCATGTCCCGTTCAACGTCAGGAGTGCGTGGGCGTGGAGTACAGTGGGGGTCGCTGTGAGCTGTGGACGCGACCAGAAGGCATTGAAGCGTCGATTCCCTTGGCGCCTTTGTGGCACTGAAATGATGGTGGAGGAATAGCAGCTGGAGGGTTCAAAGATGTATACAATATATACGGTAACTACCGTATGTATACCCAAAGTGGGATGAGGAGGATGAGGATCAGGATCAGGATCAGGATCAGGATGATGATGATGATGATGATCATGATCATGATCATGATCATGATCATGATCATGATGATGATGATGCTGATGATGATGCTGATGCTGCTGCTGCTGCTGCTGGTGGTGGTGGTGGTGGTGATGATGATGATGATGATGATGATTCACTGACTCAGAATCTCACAATACATATACTTTTGGGGATGGGTTGAAAGTACCATCAGCAGTGGATTTTGATGGAATGATTATGATGTTTGGGCGTGTCAGTGTGTCTGAGAAGGGGCAGGGGTCCCAGTTTGTGCAACTTTTTCGTGGTGAATATCATGATTATCTTTGCCTGTACCATAATTACCCAAGTTTTGGCAAACTCGTTTACAAAAGCAATAGACAACGATAGAAGCCATCAGGACACCATATTTTCTTGCTATGCCATGTTTGCATGAAGATGCACCAAGGGTTGTTGGGTACAATCACTATATAGTAGGTAATCCAAATCCTTGTGGATGCCATCATACGCATCATATGCCATTTGTTCTGGATGATTTTGACTCCCTGACCCCTGGGGTCAAGACATACCCAGGACGGCTTCACTTGTTTGCGTTTGGTCCGAAACCTACCGAGCTCCACGATTTTGAGCGTCACAACGTGCCTCGACGAGGTATTTGCTGTGCGTCGGACTGGTGCATAAAAATGGCAGATTTTGGCAGCCAAGGACCAACACCATTTCGCCATATTTCTTCCCGGTGGATGGTGGAATTGACAGAGCCTGTCGTGGCGCGAGCTCTTCAGACAATTTACCCAGCAATTATTATGTGGTTGGAGGACGGGGCGGCCAGCGGCTGACCATATACTGGAGGGCGGCATTATATAAGTTCTACTTTTTAAACATGTTTTAACAATTTCAGCTGTTCAGATCCGGAACACTGCTTTTCTATGTTTTTCGCTTCCTGAGGGATTTATGAACTTGCAGATTGCCAAGAAGCCTGCCTTCAGGCACGCCGTGGCTGGTTGGACCATGAAATGATTCAACAACACCATAGTCAGCACCCCTCAGGATGATTGAAGTGAGTAAATGGATCAGCAATTTGCAACCATTTGTATCATTTATAATCCCTTCCTCCTAATACTAAACGCCCCCCCCTATTACTAACACGGCAGGTAGTTTTTAGTATTAGGGTGGTATTTATTATTAGGGAACCCTATTAATAAAATTAAACCCTTAATAATAAAAACTATTTTTTCCGATCTCAAAATCAATTAAAAATCTTTATATAACGCAATTAAAATATTGCCAAAATTGGATTTCGAAGCTTCCCCCTAATATTAGATTAAAACCCTTAATAATAATAAAAAAAAACTAGTTTTTCCGATCTCAAAATCAATTCGCATTCTTTATATAACGCAATTAAAATATTGCCAAAATTGGATTTCGAAGCTTCCCCCTAATATTGAATTAAAACCCTTAATAATAAAAACTATTTTTTCCGATCTCAAAATCAATTAAATTTCTTTATATAACGCAATTAAAATATTGCCAAAATTGGATTTCGAAGCTTCCCCCTAATACTAAATTAAAACCCCTAATATAAAAAACTAAAAAAATCGTACGGACCCACAAATGGTAGGTTGATTTTTAAATTGGTTTCTAAAGGGGATCAATAAAAAGTCAAACTGGCCAATCTGAATTTTTCTGAAATTGGAGATGGACGCCTGTTTTTAGTATTTGGGGGACGTTTAGTATTAGGAGATTTAGGAGGAAGGGATTATCCAAGTCAATTCTAATGTGATCCAGTTCTCAGCCAATGTCGTCCCGGAGGCGCAGTTGTGCGTCGGGATTGAATTCAGTGCTGGTCGATGCGAAGTATGGACCCGCCCCAATGGAATTCAGGCCAGCATTGCTCCTCGTTTGCAGCTAGTTTTATCATGTTTTATCCAAGCTGATGGACAAAAATGTGTGCAGTTCCAGCGAAATCGTCATGAAATCGCCACGTCACCATGAAAAATCATGAAAAAATCTGGACCATCCAAATCCGCGAAATTCAGGAGTTGGATGGTTCAGGAATATCATTAAATGGAGCATCCATGGAAATCCCATCAAATATTATATCATTACATTACTAATAAAATATAATTGGGATCTCTCCATAGCATCAATGAATCAAATGGTCTGATGGTGCTCCACATGAGCTCCACCTAGGCCCTTGGGGGCTTCACGTGCATGCGCAACTCGACTGAAGGGTTTTTTGCACGTGCCCTGAACAGCTTGGGTTGGGTTGTTCCTATGGCATCTATGGGTGTCACCAGCAGAATTTTTGAAATTGGCAACTAAATGGGAAACTTTTATCTGGGCAGATGTGGGCATATCATTAAACTATCAAAGCTGCGTTCAGATTGAAGCAGGGGTTGGGCCCCTGATCATTGCTTGTACGTAGCAGTGTCCATTAATGTTCACTAGATTCCTGACCCTTACCGTTTAAGTCACCGGCTATGGATGTCCTTTTGATTGGTCAGATAGTGGAGGGGAAACCACCCATTGAACAGCAAATAGGTACAGTACCTTGTTTCAGTAAATGATGATAAATGGATGCCAATGGTATATCAAACTGGCACCACTGTTTCCCCCCTTTCAGGACATGGTGCTGATGGTTTTGTAGGGAAACAGGGACGCTTCAGTGCTGAGGCTACTCGATGGAGAACGATGCGGCACAGAAGCGAAGGCTATTTTTGGCCCCCAGGGAGCACAGTGGCTACTACGCATAGCAAATTTACAGGCAGGGCTGGCGTGAAATTGTTTTTTGGCGGCTTGAATGTAGCGCCAAGAAAAATGGCATATACTGGTGCCTTAACACCCCTTAACATTCAGCTGCACGAGTTCAGCTGCCTGAACTTTTACAGAATTCACCGGAGCCTTTGCTTCGCCTTCTAAAGGTACACCTGCATACCTTTAGGTGGAGGAAGGGACCAGTTGGTGATGGTGTGCTGTGCTGAGTGCCCAGCATCGCCCACAGTACAGAAAATTCAAGAAGTTTGAGTGCTCAAAGTGCAACACGCTATTGTATAGCAGGAGCTTATGTCACTCTGACACTCGAGCAGAGGCTTGGATTTTTTTGAGTAGGATTGCCAGGATGTTCCTTTGTGATCGCTGGAAATGATGAAAGATGGGTCCTTTGTCAGACTGCGCCACTATTGTTCATTTTCTTAGTAGATAATTGCTACACACTCCCACAACACCAGCAGTTGGCCTTGCTGAGGTAGTGAATGGCCGCAGCATTGGGCTGCAGGGAATTTTGTTGGCAACAGTTTTTCCCAATTGGATCTTCCAAGAGTTTCCAACACATCGCGGAACGTTTCTAGGACAGGCCCTTCAAGCAAGACAGCTTGCCCCGGGCCCTTGCAGCCATGGCACCTCCTCCACCTCCCACCAGGCCGCAGATTCCAGTGGATGTATTTGGATGTTACATGGGAGATGCTATGCAGTTATTAGATGTTATTAGTAGCAGATACCATAGATACCCCCTATATCCCCCTATAGTTTTCAAATAAACCAATCCGTTCCCAGTGTTTGATTTTCGTTACAGGGATGATTCCCAGTGGATGCGTTGCGTTTCGAGAGGCGCCTCAGAGATGCTGTTGCAAGGGAGAACATTGCAGAGCTGGTCGTTCCTCAGCGAAGCACCATTTTTGGCGACTGAACAGGCCACCATATGCCACCATGGTGTTCCATGATTTCCATGGTCCAGACTCATTTCCCCACCATAGGAATCATATGGAATCATAGGATATAGATGATCAGGGCAAGACCGTGTTCAAGACTCGAACAGCATCGTCCGAAGTGAGGGCTTGGTAGAGTCGTAGAGTCTTTTGGCCAGAATTGCAGTGACTTGTAGTGACTAGATATGCCGCGCACTAGTCCAAACCCACCAATCCAACATATGGAAACCCCAGATCATCCCATGTAGGGTCACGTATGGTAATGTGGTAAACCAATGTAAACCATGGTAAACCCAATGCCATAGACATCCATAGACCATCCCCAAAATTAAAATGACCAGAAATGGGAGGTGTAAACTAATATAAACCATTGACCATCCCCAATTGGTAGGTTTTATGGCAGCTAGGGTTTCCCACAATTTCCCGCATGTTTTTTTTTGATTTTGATATATGTTTTACATTTGCTTTACATTGTTTCACCATATTTTCCCTCATTGTTCAACAAGGAAAACGAGCCCCAGAAGCCCAAGGACCTTCAGCGCCGCGGCCTCATCAAGTCCAAGGAGTTCTCCGGGCACCATGACTTTGGACCCGAGGACGTTCAGGCAGGGTCCCAATGGTTGGATTGCCCAAAAATGGCAGGCAGTTAGCCCACCCAAAAGGATCAAAGGGCCACGTTTAAGGGTGAAAAACAATGGAAAATGATGGATAAACCCATGAAAAATCAATGATCAATGATGATGAATGGTGATATAAAGTTATAAAACATCAGACTGGGGGGTACATGTCTGATCATGTCTGCAGTTAAACGTCAAAGCCAGAAACTCGTTCATTAATTGCTGGCCTGTTGGTGGCTGCATCCCATTCTGGGCGGCTGTGATCCCGCATGATTCCCCGAAGCCGATCGGATGTCTAAGTCAACCCGATCCTTGGTTGACTTACAGAGGTAGTATGTAACCCCCTTGGCACATCATGAAACATCAAAAACTCCACATATTTACCATCCCATGTTGTATGACTAATCCCCAGATATTGCGGATTGCAAAATTTCTCCATAGATCACCATCCATAAATCACTGGAAATCCCTTGGTTCTTCCGCAGGTGGTGCTCTTCGATGTTTATTCGCTGGATAGCTTTGCCGCCTGCTGTGCCGCACGCAAAGCTTTGCCGCATGCTGAGTTCGAAGGCCATCATGGAAAGCATGGGATCTGCGCTGAAAACCGTTCAAAACAAATGGGGAAAACATGGGAAAACCATGGAAAGCCATAAACATATCAATATTTGCCAGGACAACATCATGAATTTTTGAAGAAACTGGATCCTTTGACCTTTGAACATGTAGTACATCTCGGCCACTCTACTTGCTTTCGGAGTACTCATGGATTTCGATGAAGAAATGTGATGAAATTTGGAGGAGTCACCAGAAGTGGCTGCGGAGAGAATTTGAACGTGGAAGTGCGGGACAAGGCTTGGTTATTTCCCAATGGCTGTCAAGCTGCGGCCCATGATCACACAAGCTCGATCAAACTGGATCGTGTTGGGTGGGAAAAAATCAGGAATTCTAGGCCATTTGGTGGAAAACATGCTCATGAAGATCATGAAGGTTTGCTATGTTTGCTCAAAAATGAAGAGTTTATCTCAGTTCTTAGGGTCCAAACATGGTCCAAATGCTACAGCAACAGGCCAGGTTTTCAGTTTTGGGGTCGTTCCTCAGGTAATCGCATTGCTCGGAGTGTGCTGGGACTATGATGATATGAGGAACTTGAGCCTTGGATCAACTTGGATCAACTTGGATGACCTGATGGATGGAGGCCTTTTTAACCAGATGTGTTGAAGAAATTTGAAGAATTACGGTAAACACTGATTTTACCACAGTTTGGTTGTCTGATGTTGATGTATTTGGATGTTTGGTTGTCGTTGGTGAACCTAGAGCTTGCCCAGTTGTTCCGTTTGAATTCCATTTGAATCTGATCTGACTTGGAAGTCCATGGCACGTGCGGATTCATTGCTGCCGCTGCGGAAACTCGCTATTCAGCTCAAGCCTGACAGTCGCGCCAGCGGGAGTAGCAACAGCGGCAGTTTCGGAAGCTCGGCTGCTAGTGAACCCAGTTTGGTGTTGAGATCTTACAGAGATCAGTGCCAGGTTTTGACAGTCAATGGCGAAATGATTGTAACAGACCATACAGACCTGGCTTGTGCTCTGAACAGATTGTTGATGACGCTCAGGATGCATGTCAAATAATTGGGCTTTGCAGCAGGCAAGACACGGCCTCTTGTACATTCCTTTCCTCCAGTGAATTAATATGCTGTAAAACCCAATAATAAACCATCCCCGCTCGAGGTCTATGATTGCTATATACATCTATATACTATACCTCTAGGTTCATTATTGGGTTTACCACATTAAGTTCTTATAGATTATGTTCTGAGATTTCCAGATTCTGAAAGTTCAAACTCGATGCATCGTACCGAGCCGCATCGTACCATGGATGAATTTTGCTGCGAGCAGCGCAGGCCTTAAAGGGTGGCAATCCATCCGACATCGGGCATGACAACTCGCATCTTGGTGAGATGATGGTTGCTGAAATCACTTGAAACCTTGGAGTTGACATGGAATGTTTCCCCAATTTCTGGCCACTGGCTATGCCATAGCGATTGTTACCAATAACCTGGCCTGGTGCACCTGTTGATAATCTCATACCATCCCAAAAATCACAAATGGGTTGTATAACTTATAAACCATCCCCATCCATTCCCCATCCGTAGAAAAACGATGAAAAACGACTTGTTCCATTGGTTTCCATCTGTCGTGGGAGCTCAGGATGTTCACCTCCCTCTTGGACCGCTTGCGGGAGGAGCATGAACTTCAAGTCTCCTCCTTGACGACCACCATCAAGGACTTGGACGAGGCCTTGCGAAAAGCTGGTGGTTCCTTGGCTCCAAAGTGTGATGGAACCGTGAACCAGTGGTGAGCAATGCCGACGCTCGCATTCCGAGATGTTCGTTGGGTTTCTGGGTTTGTGAAGGTTCGAATCCAAAAGATCATGAAAGCTAGGTTGCTAGCTGGAGTTGGATTTGCTTTAGCAATGAATTGGGGGCAGACTGGATACAACCTCCATGATTATCATGTCGAACTGGGTCTTGGGCCCCGACATTCGGCATCCCCCTCTGCAGGGGTGGGGGCTCAAACTCCGCTGCGTCCATCCCGCTCAGTTTTATTTGCGACGTTCGCATGCCCACGCATACAGATATATAAGTTATAAGATGATTTTCACATAATTTCACCGTGAGTCTTGTGAATGTAATGCAATGTAATGTTGACAAACACAGCAGTCGAACACATGCTATGCATCCAGAAGCACCGATATGAACGCTATTTAACGCATAAAGTGGTCATGGGTGATACCTTCACGCCACAAGATTTGGTGAAGGTATGAGACGGGATGGAACGCCGCCACACACAGCAGTCCAATAGACGCCACGTATCCTGAAGCATTGAGAAGGACGCCATTGGAGACATAAAATTGTCATGGGTGATACCTGCGCGCTGCAAGAGTTGGTGAAGGCATCAAACGAACTGGAACTCAGCCAAACATAACACTCCAACAATACAGGCCATACACACCGAAGCACTGAAGCACTGAGACAAATGCCATTGGATACAAATGATTGTCATGGATGATACCTGCACGCAGGAGGATTTGGTGAAGGTATCAAACAGGAGAGAACTCAGCCAAGCACAGCAGTCAAAAACATGCTATGCATGAGGAAGCACCAAGATGAACGCCATACTCTACTCCACTCTAGTCTAATCTATAATCAACATATAATATATATTATATATATATATCTATCTATCGATAATGTTGGTGTATAGGGTGTACCTAGGATCTGTTCCTCTTAGGTAGCATGATTCATGTTCATGTACCGCAGCCCTTTTTGGTTTACCTTTGAAGCAGAGCGCTGAGGAGAAAAGGTGCGCTGGGCTGCATTGAACTAGCGAGCCCAAATTTCCGTTGCATGGTAGCGGAGCTCCTGGTTTGGGAGCTGGAAGCGCCTGGCAAGCGAAATGAGTCCCATGCTCCAAAGGCACAGAGCTGGTTCAGTTCGTGCCCTGGCCAAGCGAGTTTGGCACAGGACTTGGTGATGGAGTCACCAACAGGAGGAAGAGGGACAGCAAGACTTGGACCAGGTACCACAGCCTTAGAACTTCCCCTTGGGCAAGCGTGGCATGCAATGCAAGCTGGAATGGCTCAAGTGGCACACAGTGCACGACAGAAGTTTGAGTCGCTGGAGCGTGGCCTACAAGATCAGGCCAGAAGATTCCAAGCAGACCTGGGAAACATTGCAAGACGATGGCAGGAAGAAGCGGAGGTATCCCAAGAAGTGATCTCGGAAGATCGTGTAGAGGCAAATGACTGCTCCCAACAGGATGGTGGATTACCATCAGCCAATCAGCCCTGCAAAGAAGGCTCAAAGGAAGTTGGCAAACCTTCCCATGGTGGAGAATGCGGTGCTCAGAGACTTGTAGACAAGAAAGATGAAGAGGCTTGTGCGCAGGAATGGCCAGGGAGGACAGACTCAGAGACTGAGAGCGACTTGGGTCTTGTCTGCGTGGTTGGTGGATCCAGTGCTGATTCAGCACGGGCCCATCGGGAGCCCAGAGCTGCTTCAGCTCGGACTCCCACGCCTATGGACCGAGAAACTCCAAGGACCATTGTTCGTCCTGAGTTTGGAGTCTTGTCATGGTTCTGGTCCAGACCCAAGGATGTGGCCATGGCAGAGTGTAGGAAGGATCGGTATGGTGCTGGCCCTGGTTATCGTTGCCCAGTGCCTGGTTGTGGAGGACGTCAAAAGACTTTTAAGACTGTGAAGGATCTGGAACGTCACTTGGGTAGTAAACTGCACTGTCCGGGCCACCCGTATGACCAACAGTGGGCAGCTTGGGAAGCTGAAGCCAAACGTGGCTACTATATAAGGCCTGAATTTCCTGAAGAAGAAATTGCACTGCGCAAGCCGGGCCACTGTGACGATGAGAAGCCTACTTGGATTTACCTTCCAAGGGAACCTGACTACTCGAAACATGACCAGACCCCTGAGTCCGAGCAAGGTTCGGAAGAAGCAGAAGCCGAAGAAGCAACAGAAGGAAGGCACGAAGCAGGAGAAAGATCGGAGGACGAAGTATTGTCAGAGGTGCAAGCTCACTCGGACGCGGGATCCGAGCCAAGCAAGGAGGAAGAGATGGTTGACGAGGCACAAGAAGGAGGAGAGTCTGAAGCGGAGACAGTGACGAGTGTGCAGTCTGTCTACGAAGTTGACGTCGTTGAGGACCTTGGGAAGGAGAGTACTGCTTCAGTACCTGCTTCGCCACGTGTTCCTAAGACCCCAAATCGCCTTAGATCTCCGATTCCTAGACGACGTGGCCGAACAGAGCTAGCACCAGTGGCAGTGGAGGAGAACATGGTTCCTGCTAAGGAGCCGGATCAAGTTGGGAAGTACCTTCCACCCCACAAGAGGAGATCGGAACAGATCTCTGAAGCGACGGGTGCTTTAGGTGCAAAATACGTCCCGCCACACAAGAGGCAAGCGAAGACCCAGGGTGAGAGTCGTGCCGGTGGCTCTTCATCCTCCAAGGCAGCGCCGTACCAAGTGAACAACGCTTCAAGGTCTATTGCCCTAGGAGAGCTGATATCGAAGAGGATTGATGAACTAGAGGTACTCCGTCAATCCTTGGATGACAAAGGAGCACATGATGAGGCCGTCTTGAACAACGTTGCAGATCTGGAACTTGAGATTGAAGGTCTCAAAGGCGAGCAGAGAGCCTTTCGAAGAAAGAATCGAGAAGGCCATTCTGCAAGACAGGAGCGAGACAATGAAGCCTTGGGACGTCGTTTAGCCTACGTCAAGGAAAGGTCGAGGAAACGTGCAGCCAGTCATAGGTTGGCCGGTGAGGCTGAAAGGACTGAGGAAAGGCTTGAAAGAGAAGACGAGTGGCATCGACGCTTCAATCGGCCTGGCACTGGTCGAAAGGTGCAAGTTTTCCCCTTAGCTGAAGGAGTCTTGGCAAATGAAGTCCAAGCAGCACCATTGTCCAAGAAGGCAAGGACAGTGTTGCTTGAGGAAGAGGAAACGGCTTTCCTTGAGTTGCCGCCGCCTACGGCACGAACAAAGCAACTTCCGCCGTCGGCAAGGAAGAAGACCTCACAGCAGAAGAAGGCTAAGCACAAGAGAGAAAGACGCAGAGAGCAACGACTAAAGGAGAAGAAGACCGGTGGACCTGGAGGCATTGGCCACTTGACTTCCTTTTCTGGTCACGGTGACAACTCTTCAGAGAAATACCCTGGTTGGACACGGATCGACTTCGTCATCGACTCCGGTGCAAGTGCAAGCACCATTCCCAAGGAATTGGTGGGCAAGGTGAAGCTTGGTGAGTCCGTGGGGTATCACAGTTTCAGGTTGGCCAATGGGAGCCTTGTGCCGAATGAGGGCACATTGGTAGCCAAGGCGTGGCTTATGGGCAACGAGGAGGTTGCAATGAGAATGGCTGTCGCCAACATCTCACAACCTCTCATCTCAGTTGGTCAGATGGTCAACCAAGGAAACAAAGTTGTCCTATCCCCAAAGGTCAGTTACCTCGAGACCAAGAGTGGAGGTATTCACCGGATCTTTCAGCGAAATGGCGTCTATGTTCTACCAGTATGGATAGACTCTGCAAAGGTGTCAAAGAGGTCCAGCCCTTTCAGCGGGCAGGGCCACAGTTGCCT